GGATGGGGAGAAACGGGGGGTCAGAGGAGCTGGGCCCCCCCAAGCTCCCAGACTCTCCCCACCCTAGGGGGGTCCCCAATCCCCAGCCCCTGCACTCACCCCACTTCTCTGCCGGCCGCGGGCTCTTGGGGGAGCGCTGCACCCACAATGGGGCCAGCGCCCCCCGGTCGCCCCGAGGGGCTGGGTCGCTTAGGGGCTCCGTGGACCCAGACGTCCGGGCAGCTCCTCTAGGGCCAGGCTCTGGGGACCCAGGCGTCCGGGTGGCCCCCTTCACCGTCAGCTCTGGGGACCCAGGCATCCAGGCGGCTCCCTCATGGCTGGGCTCCGGGGACCCAGGCGTCCGGGCGGGCCCCTTCACGCTCAGCTCTGGGGAGCCAGGCGTTTGGGCGGCTCCTCTATGGCTGGGCTCCTGGGACCCACGCGTCCAGGCGGCCCCCTTTGGCCTCGGCTCCGGGGACCCAGGCGTCCGGGCGGCCCCCTCCAGGCTCAGCTCCGAGAACCCAGGCATCCGGGCAGCCCCTTCCCGACCGGGCTCAGGGGACCCCGGAGTCCGGGGACCCCCCTCCCCGGCCCCCCCTAGCTCCACGGGGCTGCAGCGCCCGCTGGATCAGCCCCCGCTCTGACTCCTGGGTCCCACTGGCATCACCTGGATGGTGGAGAGGAGGGGGGCACATCAGGAAGGGGCTAGGACCCTCTCAGGGCTCCGCCCCCTCCTCCACCCCCTCTCCCCCCTTCCCCAAGGACCACCCCGTCTCACCATTTAGGGTCCCCTCTCCCATGGGGGGCTCCTCAGACTCCAGGTACCACGTTGTATCGTCCAGCCGTGACTTCCGCCTGGGGGGGGAAAAGAGTCAGAACCCAGCCCGCCACTGCGCTCACCCCCACCCCACTCCCTTCCCAGCCAGGGAGGGGCCCCAGGCACCCGGGCGGCCCCTACCTGCCGTTCTGCGTGGGGGACCCAGGGCCCCAAGCCTTGGGGCGTCGCTCCCCAGTCCCAGGCTCGTCCCCCCGACGCAGCGCCGGCCGGGCCCAGCTGGGGGCGCTCTCCACGGGCTCCACTGCATGAGAAAGGCAGGGTCAGTGGGGTCACAGTGATGTCATGCCCCTCCCTCTATGACATCACATGTGGTCACATGCATGCAAATGTGTCTCACTTTGAGACGGGGCCTATGAAGGATGATGTCACTGGAAGCCTCGTGTGACATCACGGGATGCTGGCACACCACCAGGCAGCAGCTACTTATATCACGCATCATCACGCACGGCATTTCTAACAGCAGCACGTAGTCTTTATGGTGTCACTTCCCGCTCTGTCCTAACTCCCCAAGCTCTCTCTGTCTCTGGGATGGGAAGACATCACGTGATGTCATTTCTATGAACCAATCAGCTCACGGTACTAGCCAGAAAAGTGCACACTTTCTTCCCGAACCTGCTCCGCTTTTTTCCCCATGATGTCAATTCCTGTGATCCTGGTGAAACTGCCAACAGGAAGTTACATCACAAGCCCCTTCCTGAGACACCATATATTCCAACCCATCGACAGAGCAGTGACGTCTGACGCAACTGCTGGTGACATCGCGCTCCTCGGTCCAATCAAAACAGAATGGATGGGAGAGACTGGGGTGGGGCACAGAATGCAGCTGCTGATGTAATTTTAAACTGACCAATCAGCTTGGGGGTAAGAGTTGCACCAGCCCCCACCCTGCCATCCCAGGATGGGATCTCATTGCAGAGCCACTGGCGGGAATATTTGAATGCTCGTGGCGCACGGGCCAAGTCCCGGAGGACTGGAAAAGGGCCAACGTGGTCCCCATTTTCAAGAAGGGGAGGCAGGAGGACCCGGGCAACTATAGGCCAGTCAGTCTCACCTCCATCCTTGGCAAAGTCTTTGAAAAAATTATCAAGGCTCACATTTGTGAGAGCCCGGCAGGACAAATGATGCTGAGGGGAAACCAGCACGGCTTCGTGGCACGCAGATCATGCCTGACCAATCTAGTCTTTTTATGACCAGGTTACGAAACGCCTGGACACAGGAGGAGGGGTGGATGTCGTATACTTAGACTTCAGGAAGGCCTTCGATACGGTATCCCACCCCATACTGGTGAACAAGCTAAGAGGCTGTGACTTGGATGACTACACAGTCCGGTGGGTGGCGAATTGGCTGGAGGGTCGCACCCAGACAGTCGTGGTGGATGGGTTGGGACCTGGAAGGGTGTGGGCAGTGGGGTCCCGCAGGGCTCGGTCCTTGGACCGATACTCTTCAATGTCTTCATCAGCGACTTGGACGAGGGAGTGAAGTGTACTCTGTCCAAGTTTGCAGATGACACAAAGCTATGGGGAGAAGTGGACACGCCGGAGGGCAGGGAACAGCTGCAAGCA